AGAGAATTGCAAGGATGGGAAAAAAGCCCAGAGCAGGACTGCTTGCTCCAGTGCACTCAGGAGAAGACTGCGTGTGAGATTGCTGCACTTCTGCTGTCAAAGTAAAAGTCAAAGTAAACTGAGGTTTGCCGACCAAATTAAATAAATAGCACCCTCTCTCTGCAAGTAACATCAAGTCTGATTAAGAGTTCAGAGAGTACATTTTTCAAAATGTCGATCGCTGGATCAGAAGATCAAACATCATTGATTTCTTTGTATTTTATTTTATCCCAGAGAATGATTTAAAACAAAACAAAACAAAACAAAACAGAACTTTATCTGCTTCTTTTTGACTGCTTGAATGGGAAGAAAATAAAGAGTATATATTAGTATTAGTTGTAGTATTCCAAAATGTATTACATGCATTATTATTCCTATTATTCTAGAGATGCAGTGCCAGCAAATCACAGAGGATTGGCAAGGAATTAATGAAGGACTAAAAAAGTACTGGAAATTAGGGAAGATAATGAAATGGAAGAGATCAGCTGATCAAAGTGAAGACTGAAAATGGTACATCATTCTTGCAGTCAAAGGGTAATGAAATACAGTGGTGGCAAAGTGGGAATACTGATCTTCACATGCTTCTAAGAATTTCTTGCCATAGTCGGTCAAATCTCAGTAAGATTGCTAACATAAGCTATTACAAAATGAAAAGACCTTTATGCCAATAGAAATGCATCTTTGGTGCAGACCTCTACCACTTCTGCCATGATAGGTTCTAAATTGACAGAACACTATGGAGTGAGCTGGATTTTTGAAAATCTAGTGGCATGAGTTCTCCTGTGCCAGGTTAGCTTGTGTCCTGCAGCAGAGGACACATGTCCAGGCCTCATAGCAGGAAACCCAGGGCCTATGAACATTATCTAATGCATAATGGGAAAAACAGTCCTAACTCCCACATGAAAGAATGGACTCTAAGCTGATGTTACCTCTCAGAAATGAGACTTGGAATTATGGTAAATAGTTCCATGAAATCTCATCTCCCAGTCTTTTGTCATCCAAAAAGCCCTGATCCAATACTATGGATTATCTAAGAAAAAAATAGAGAACAAACCAGAAAATTTAATATGCCTCTGTGTAGTACACGCATCTGCTGGATCCTGACTGCTGCATGCAGTCCTCAAAAGTCAACAGAATAGGATGAGAAGGGCAAGCATGGGTGACCAGAATGATCAAATTCACCATATGCAGGGCAACCAGGATAGGGCTCCTGCAGAATGGGGGAGCTGGCTTCCAGTGTGATGCTAAAGGTCTGTAAAATCATGGGTAGTGCAGAAAGGGATTCAGTTAAAACATGAACGTATGTGTCTGGGTTATAGAGTTGTTGAGCTGTAAAACATTAGTGGAAGCTGAAGGAAACACAGGTTTTTGCACTTTTCTTTCAGTCTTCTATAGGCATTTTTTTGCCTACCTGCTCCTATTGCGTTTTCCAGCTTAAGAAAGCCTTTAAAGGTCTGCCAGGGATGGAGAGAGCTGAAGGAAACAGAAATCAAGAGAAAACACCTGTTGTGAACAACAACACATGCGCATGCACAATTAGAAGACAGAGAGATGGGGATGGTGAGCAGTGCATCAGACAGCATCTAGCCCAGGGAGGCATCCATGGGTGCTGCCCGGTGAGGATACTGGTAGATGCACAGACTGAAACCTGCTCCCCATCATCATCATTGGAGGACATCGTTATAGTCTGTGGGTTTTCTGAAAAAGGTGATGGAAAGGTTTTTCCTCATCTTTGCAGTTCTGTACTAATAAGCCAGGTTTCCAGGCAAGATGCTATGCTCCAGTCAATACCACATGTAAAGTCAGGGCAGAGACCAAGAGGAAAAACTACGGCAATGTAAGGATGACAACAAACTAGGAAGTCCATACCATATAGCAGTGCAGGCTGTGGAGTCTTGGCTCCCAGATTTTGGTCATATATTTAAAAATAGATCCCTACAGACTAACCTGTTGAGCTGTAAGATTTTTAGGCCCCAAGGTGGAGATGACCTTGGAGGCAGTGTTTATCTGAGCAAATTTGTCATCCACTTTGCTTGCCTACATCCCAAATCTCCAGCTTTCTGAAGGGGAAAATGGTATCAAATGAATTTCATTTTTGCTTGGTAAGACCTGAAGGAACAGGGCTGCTCTTCAGCTTCTCTCCTGTTCTCTGGTCATCTCAACCCTCGTACTCCCAGGCTGGAGCAGCGGCTGGTGATGCCCTGTCAGCTGTGTAAAACATCCAGGTCACCAGGCCCAGCAAGTAATGGCATGTCTGTCCCTGGGCACCATGGCCATGCCCTCTGCTTGGCTCCAGCCCTTCCATGGCTCTGATTCCCTGCACAGGGCTCTCTCTGACCAGCAGTATTAAGCCATAAATGAGATTTATATTCTTTCCAGGAGGATATTGCTAGAAACAGTCCTGCTGCTTCTTTGTATGTGATTTTTACCCTGACTATTTATCTGACATTTCCACACTTTAAAGTTATTTCTTCCCTCTCCTCTTTACTTTTCTGTGCATTGTTCTTCTCTGGCACTTTTTCTCATCCTATGTTTTGCTTCTGTAAACAACTTTGCATAATGTTTTCCTTTAAATTGTTCCATTTCAAAGTTTTCCGTGTTTCAAACTTCCTAGTTGCTACGTGACTCTGCTGTGTGGTTTCTAGGTCTTCTTTTGCTCTACAGTGTCCTTTATCCCTTAGGCAGGTTCCCTTGAAAAGCTTTGTGGTGGAGATAAAATGGAAAATATCATCACAGGGCTTTACCAGAGCTGTTGTGAGGGGCAGGTGCTGAAAATCCCTGCATCATGGTGTGCGTGTGTCTCAATCACTGCCTGTGCTCCCTTGTCAGAGCACGTCTCCTCATGTCATCCCCAACAGTGCCCCTTAAAGTAGAACACTCAGTCGCTGTAGCAGTTCAACCTGTGTGACTCTGGCTCTGATCAGGATCCCACCAAAGCCAACAAATGCCTCTCTGCTGATGCTCAGTCAGGCTGCAGCCGGATTTAAAAAGTGACCTACATCTCCTTCTCTGTATCTCAGCCTCTCTTTGCGTAACTGCCCATGGATGGTCTAAATTTACCACTGCGGTGTGAAAACATGAATGCGGGAGCAGCGGTAGGCCTGGCTATTTAAACCACTTTCTGTCCTGGTTTCAGAGCAGCAAACAAGATTTGCACTTACTAGCTTTGTCAACAGAGCCGAGCAAATGAATATTTTCTTTGGTGACCATTTTTGGTTCCAGTTCATAGCTGTACCAGCAGGAGCCCAGCACAAGAATCTGTTTGCAGATACTCCTTAATTTGCTTATTGAGCCAGGCTCTCTAGCCTGGCACAAGTTATATTTAGACTGAGAGGCCTTCTCAGGCTTGGAAGCCTTGCTGATGGATTTCAGGCATATGCACATAGGAGCCAAACCTAGCTCTTTCTGAATTTCAGACGCAGGCAGACATGGATGGGTTGTCTGAAGTTATGTCCTGTCCTGTCCATGCCTTTGTGCAGGGATGCAGGGACAGAACAGGGCCAGTCAATTAGCTCTGCCCAAGGGAGACCAGGGAAACCTGCAGGGCTGCAAGGAAGGCCTCAGTTCTCACTTCTGTCAACCAAAGCAAACTGACAAGTAGATAAGTATCTGTATAACTTCCTGGGAGCAATGAAAACTCCTCTTGAAGATAGTATCCAACATTTTGCTGTCTTTTTTCTTTTCCTGATTTTTCACATGACTCTTGTTGACTTTGTGGAAGCTAATAGGCTATCAACATGTTGGAAGCCAGGTCTGCTGCTTACCGCCATGTTGATATGGGGAAGCTAAACTGTTTAGATTCCTTTCATTATTTATCTTTGTGGTACTGCTGTACCTGTTCTATTCTCTGCACTACAGTAATTTCTAGTGGAGCTTATTTCTGTTGACCAAACTGTCAATTTGGATTGAATGTATGAAAATGTCCATTAAAAATGTTTCCAGCAAGGTTGCTAACTGAAATCCTTGCTGGTAGAATACATTCACAGAGTGAGAACATTTCTGGCAGGTCACTGCTTTGTTTCATAAAAGGACAGGCTATAAATACTGTCATTCACATGTCGTTTCACTTCCTGTGCCTAACAGCAAACCCCAGTGAACTGTATGTTCATGAGAAAGGCTCATTTTGCCCTCAATATTATTGGGAGCTCCTCAATGTCTCTTAGTGAGGCTTTTCTCCTGTGTGTCAGTGCAATGAGGCTTCCTGTCCTTTTTTTGTATGATTTCAAGGAAAGTCTGACTCATTACTTCAGGGGCTGAGTTAAATTCCTTCCCTTGGACTATTTTAAAAGAAATCATTTAAGCCTCAAATACTTGTGCTGGCTGCAGCAGCAGATGTGCAAAAGGATGGGCACTTGCTTTGCTTTTTGCTGCTCATCCTCAAGAAGAGCAGGCTGTCCTTAATCACTGGGCTCAGAAGCAGAGCAAAAGGACTTTTTGACCCAAGATAAAATAAAGACAAAAACATTCTTGTGGAAGCACAGCAAGCAGGCACTTTGGGATGCTTCTGGAATATATTACTGGGAATAGCTTGCACTTTCTTTTAGAAAGAAAATCATACCAATGCCTTGAGGAAAAAGAAGTCTTGTGTGATGAGGAGAAAGGGAGGAAATTATTCTTGGTGATATTTAATTGTTTAAATGCAGAAGGTTCTGGAATGAGAAGATTTCACGTACAATAAGTAAGTGAGGAGAGTGATCTGGCACAATTACAAAGGTGACTTCGAAACAGTCTCTCCTTTTGATCTCTAAAATCTTTCATTTCTTCTATCCAGATATCCTCATGGGTCAAAATTTGTAGCATTTGCAAATTATTTTACAAAGTAATCAGTATGCACTTGTTTCTTTTTTTTCTTTTTTTTTTTTTTTTTGCTGAAATGGAGGACACTCCTGAGGAAAGAATTCTGTTTCTTTTTCAAACATTACTTGGCTGAGACTTACTGCATATTTCCATTCCCCTTGCAGAGGCACGGCAATAGCTGGAATTGTTTTCGGCATTGTATTCATTATGGGAGTGATCGCTGGGATTGCCATCTGCATCTGCATGTGCATGAAGAACAACCGTGGCACCCGAGTGGGGGTCATCCGGACAGCACACATCAACACCATCAGCACCTACCCGGGTAAGGATGCCAGGTGCAAATGGGGCCTGAGCTCCTGGTGCAGGTGTAGCTGTGAGTAATCCTGGTTTCACAGTGAAAGCTCTTCCTGATCTGCAGGGAGCAGCATGGTTCCCTGCTGGAGAATCGCAAGACAGCTCAGTGTGCACAGGGTTCGTTAGGTCAGTAGGCTAATGAAGTCTGGCCAGATGTCACATTAGCACAGCTGTATGGCAGCAGGACACTCAAGCCCCGTTCAGAACAACACTGTGCTGTGTCAGACGGGTGTTCTCCACATGCCAGAGACTCTCCAATGAGAAATCAGTTGGTTTTCTTCCTTGTTCTGAACCAGTGGGAACTTGGAGCAAGCAGCAGAGATGTCTGTTGTGCTTGGTGAAAGACAGCAGGGGTTTGACAGTGCATGTCAGCTCTAGCTAAGTATCAGATGTGCTCAGCAAAGATGAGTCGGTGGATTACACAATTTTGATACAGTAGTTTTTCACATGCAGAGCAGCACCAGAGGAGGCACAGAGCCAGGCTTTGAAGAGCCCCAAAGGACAGTAGGGGCCCCTAATATGCCTGTTCCAATGTAACTGTGCCTTTGGTGAGCAGGAGCTGGTACATCTGGCAATTTCTGAGGTAGCTCTGTGCAGAGCTGCTCTCTGCACCATACTTATTAGCTCCTTGCTTGGGGGGGTGTTAGGTATAGGAGCATCAAAGGTGGTTCTCCATTAGGCTACCAGGGCCATTTTCCTGGCACCTCCACCTTGTGAATGTGGCTACATTGTTGAAGAGCAAAGCTGATCCTGGAAGTAGCATCAGTGTTTATGCTGCACAGCTATGTCTCTGCTTTGGTGACATGATTAATTACAAATCCAGGAGCAACTGCCAAGGGATAACTGAGAATTCACTGTAATAAAAGGCAATGGTTTTTCACAGATGAAGTCCCCTCCTCCCACTCTTAGAGATCCCTTGCTTTTATATTCCCTTCAGTTCCAAAGGTTGCTGCAAACCCCAGGTGCATTAAGTATACTTAAGGGCAAGCTATGCAATATTTAGTATGTCTTCCTTCTTCACATCCACTGCTCTTATTGTCTGTTCTCTCCCTCATCCTCTTTCTTTTCTGTTAAATTAAAACCAGCCGTAATCATCCTTATCATGGCAACATTGTTTTGCATAGAGAGATGAGTAATGAAATAAAACTGTAATATTCCCTACCATGATTTGCTGAAGAGCCACTTTAGAATCTAGCAGTCACCACAAGCTGTAAAAATGACAGCAAAATGAAGGCTCTGGGGCTGTAGCCTTTTCCTCCCCAAGTATGCTCTGTCTATGACTCACCCCCATCTCTCCACCTCCAGGCAGTTTGTCTTTGCATTCCCCCTCTTCCTCCAAGCAGTAGCACTTTTTGGCAGATGCGCTAAGCTCCAAAATGGTATCTGTTTTCTCCATTGTTGTGAACACTTCTGTAGTAATGAGTAAACTGGATTTTCTGTAAGGTTTATGTCTAGTATTTTCCCCTTCCATTGGCAGAACAGCGAGTCAGAAAACGCTTTTCCTTTGGCCTCAGCCACAGTGGCAGACAGATTTTCAGAGATCAGGGAGTGCTTTTCCTGCCACACAGGGCCTTGAGTCTCTTCTCCCCAGTGCAAACATCCTAGGTTTCTGTTTTCTTTCTGTTAAAGTGATATTTTGATTCCAGTCTGCTGGGAATGAAAGGCCTCCATGGTGACATGAACTGAGAAAGAGCAGACTCGAGCTTAAAATTCATACAGTACTGTAATGGGATTTTTATATGAGGCCTTCAGTTCCTACCACGCTGTAATTCTGCAGCACTTACTGTCTTTTTGATCAATGAATTAATCCTCCTCTGTGGTTAGCAGAAGTAATTGAAGAAAAGGTTTTCAGCTATTTCCAAGTATTTTTGTGGGGTTTTTTTTCCTGAATGACTGATCTGGCTTACAAACACAGGGCTCTCCTCAGAAGTCCTTCAGAGAGAACAAAATGAAAACTCTGTTATTCCTCAACTTGAGACCTGGGAGCATTCTAGAAAGATGCCCAGATTTGCTCCAGAAGCTGTGATGCTGCTATGCTGTGAGGATCTTTCTGCTCTGTTTGACATGGCATGTTGCACATCTTCTGGGGATCCAAAGGATGTTTCAGAGATCAGCGAAGGCCCTGCCTACATAATTGTTTTTAGGCAACGTAAATCTGTGTTGATGATGAAGAGGATGAGACAGAAAAGATCTGATGAAAACCCAACCTTTCTCCTCTGAAAAACAGTAGTTCTGTGCTGCATCATCCTGGTATCATTTGCCATATGGCTACTCAAACACTGCTAACAACGCATGTCTGCGGTCACAAGAATAAGCAGTGAAAAAGGGCAGTGAGCAAGGACTTGCACTGACATATAGTGAATGTATAGTGACAGTCTGAAGAAAGTAAACATGTTGTTAGTAGACTTTATATCTGTTCTATGGAAGTCTGAATGTCAACTAGAAAATGCATGCATGCATACAAAAAATACTATTTTTTAACTACTTCTTCTTCCTTCTCCCATTTTAGTGACTCCACCACCATACAGTTACGAACATGAAATGGAGTACCCAGTTGATCTACCTCCACCTTACACTCCAACTCCACAGACGTCGATACAGTATCCCCCACCCCCTCCTTACCCTGGTTATTCTGGAAAATAATGACATGGCTTCACCCCGATGTTAACTGCCTGTTGAAACAGCCAGCATCATTGGAACAAATATTTTTGGCTCAGGGACAAGTAGGATGGGTTCTGCAGTTCTGCATCAATATATCTGGTCAAACATCAAAATAACCAAGGAGGTTTCCTGTGGCTCAGGACAAAAAAGAATACTGTCCATTCTGGACCATCACAACACATGGTTAAACAATGTGTGATAAAAGAAACAGTTCCTATAAGTCAGTGCCTGATAAGTAGCACTTAGCATTGGTGCTTAGCCTTAGCTGCAACCCCTTATAGCAAATGAGTATTGGAGTCTTCCTGTTCAAGAACATGCACATGGTTCAGATGGTTCAAGGTTCAGATTGCACAGGAGACAGCTGCTGTGACTTATTCTGCTGGAAAGTTCCAGATGTGGTCTTCAAACACATTACACCTTTCTGTGAAATAAGGGGAATAAGAAAGAACAAGGAAGACTGAAGCGTTAGTTTCTACTTTGGGATGATAATACATGATGATCTGATAAGTGCTGCCAGATTTATTCAGCAACCAAAAACTGATGGATGTTATTTTTGGCCAAATGCAGGTTGTTTTAAGTGCCTACTTTTTAAGAAAGTTGAGACTAGTTTATGGCCTAATATGTAAACATAAAGAGCGTTTTTATATGTGAATTACACTAATTTATAGCTGATGAACTTTTAGCTGGACTTAAATACTCTGCACATTGGACAAGGCTACGGTGCCTTTTAAAACCAAATTATATGTTGATTTAAAAAAAAAAAGAATATTAATTCAGGAATACTTACAAGTGGGAGAAGAAAAAGAAATCAATTATTAAAGCATCGTAGGTCTGTCTTTCAATTGGGTTGCATGAAGATGTTTTTTAAAAAAAAAACAATCATACTGTTTTCCAGTAATAATGGTATCCATTCTAACCAAAGATATGAGAAGATTGACTGTGAACATCAGATTATTTACAAATATTGTCTTGGGCATTCTAAAACTTCAATTCACCAAACAATATTTTTTGCATTTGTCAGGCATGTTGTTCAAAATTACTTAGTCTCTACTACAAAAAGTTCAAAGATTCATGGTATTCCATGTGCTTACTGGGCTGTTATTGAGCAGCAGTTATTTCACAGTAGAGTATCCAGTTACCAAAAGCATCATCCTTCAGTGATAAGACTTGCATTGTGTTCAGTTCTGTATGCAAACCACAAAGGCACTGGTTCTTTTCGCGATATTTAGAACTCTCTTAATTTGAGTTGGCTAGCCTTTTAACTCTGAGCAAAAAAGCTATTCAGTAGTTTTCTTGCATCCAAGACCTAAGTGACTATTCTTGCTCAGATTTTGTAATTGTATTTATTTGTCCTTTCCATGCTGACTAACCTTACCCTCTTGAAGATCACACTAGAAACTAGAATTGCTCAGGAAACCCAAGCTGTGTCGCAGATTTTGGCTGCTGGGGGTTCCTTGGAGCTTTCTCTAAGGAAGGACAGTTACATTCACATTTCTGTTTTGCTGTTCAGAGGTAACAAATCCTGAACTAGGTTATCTTCACAATTGCTTCTGCTCTGGACTTCGTCCTCTGACATCTTTGCTGCTAACGTGACCTCTCCTAAGATACAGAAGTTCCTTAGTTGAAATCCTCCTGTGAAGTCTGACTTTCTGTGCACTGGGTTTTGGCACTCCCTACTTTGAACCATCTGTTGGGGTGTTGAGTGTGCCTTCCAATCTTCCCATCTGGGCTATTGGTCAGTGTGAAGAATAGAAGAAGCGTGGTTTTTTTTCTGTGGGAAATCCTATTTCTACCACATCGTTCTACGCTACTACCTCAGCACCAGATGGTCTTTCTGTGCCAAAAAGTTACCTGTAGATAACAAATACTATCATTTACCCCATATGTGTATTTCATTTCTTTGAACTGAGCATGCAGACACACCAAAGAATAGTTTGTATGTGAGGAATCCAGTCTCCTAAAAAATACAGAGAAAGAAAATCATCATAAATCTCCCTTTAAAGGAAGAATTTCTCCAGCTGTGACCTTTGTTAGGACAATTTACAAAGCAGATTTCTTGAATTAAAAGGTGTTTCTGTAAAACAACTAAAAGTCTTTGGTGATGGAGTCCTCTTTTTCAGCTTTGAGGCTGATATTGCATAAGGATACTGCATAGCTATCTATAGATCATGTATTCCAGTGGAAAATTATGGAAATAACAATTTGAGAATTCCATAGTGATTGAGAGCTATTTGTTTAATATGAAAATCCTAGTGAGGATGTTGATTTTAGTATGCTAATAAGTTCTGTAGAGCCATATATATTGGACTATACCAAACAATGATTTTACTTCTCAATGGTCATCACATCTTCTTCTTCCTAAGAGCATAAAACATACAGATGGCATCCTTAAAGCAAATTAGGTAAAATTAATGCCTCTTACAATAGCCTCTTTTGAAAAACAAACGGTGACTGCACTGAAAATAAGTAAGTAAACTGAGAGTTTGAAAGATTCATGGAAGTGAAGGAAGCGAACTTAAACATAACCTGCATAAACAAATGGGAGCACTTGCTAATACTGAAGTTGAATTCTGTTGAAAGAGTTGAAATGTTGTTATACCTTCGGTGTTACATTCTTTGTGTGGAAACATGTAATTTATTCAACACTTCCGTGTTCAAACTGCCTGCAGTTCAGATATTGCTGGCCAGTAGTCATTTATTCTGTTTCACACGAACAGCTTGCAGGTGAGTGGGTTCATACAAAGCATTTTTACCCAGTCATATAGATTTATTTCAGTCTTATGCCCTACATCAGGTTGTGAAGCAAGGAAAAATGCAAAAATATAACCTTTGGCTGAAAGAGAACAAATGATCTTTTGCTTTTCTTCCTTGGCAGTGGACATTCTCACTAATTTGGTCAGTGAATATAGCAGTGCCTTGTGCAATTCATATACTTAGACTGTGTGCTGCTGATTTGCTCGTGGTCTCAGGTTGTTCTGCCTTTGGCTCATAGCTTCTAGGCTGAATTGGGAAGACAGAGAGGGAAGGTTACTGTGGCTGGGGAACAGGACTTGATCCCATGAATCTTCTGGGTTTCATAGCCTAGAACATGAGGTGATTGCCTGGTTGCATGATTGTTGTTCTGGACTGGAAGCAGCAGGAACTGCAAGTGCTTGAAGAGCACATATGCTTGCCTATGTTCTGATGCCATTCCTCTCTTGCAGGAAGCAAATTCTGTGTAGCATCTTATTTAATCCTGTTTTGAGGATATTTCAAGCCATGATTCATTTCACAAACTTAATTTTAATCTGGCATTTCTTTTAAGTTTTTCTCCCCCAGAATAAGCTACTTCTAAGCTAGTCTCTCTGACAGCCTGTTTTTCTAGGGTACATATCAAGTAGCAGGAGAAATGTATTTAAGAGCTAATGACCCATTTGGGAGACTTTACAAATTAGGTAATAATCAGTTGGAGGAGTGACAAGGCCAAGGCAAAGCCAAAGGAAGTTAATGTGCTAGGCTGCCGTTACCCAAATGACACACTCCAGTGAAAGGATTGTTAATGCAATTGTAAGCCTTTTTTAATTAATGAAAAATGTAAGGATTTTTATTTTTAGAGCTGCTAACTTTGAAAGACATAGTTTCACTGATGTACAAGAACCGGATTTTCAGTAGTGCCACAATGAAAAGATTAGATTGTTCCGCTTGAATCGATATTAGCAGTGTTCTTGGTACTGTAAAACTACATTCTTCAATTTAAGGCCAATGTTCTCAAGACTCTTTGTCAGTATAGTAGGATAGTTCATAACATACTGACAGCTGTCTATTATAATAGTTAATGTTCTGTGTTTCTGTATTCATTTTCATCCTGGAAGCTCCCCAGATGCTTTAGTAACTAGAAAAATAATTATTTTAATCATCTTGGAATAAAAAACAACCGATATTTCACAGCGCGCAGAACACCTTATGGTAGAGTTGAGGTAAACAGTTTAAAGATAGTAAATATATTTCTTTAGTTTCACTAAAATGGCAGTGCTTGAAAAATACACCTTGAGAAAATAATGACCAGGACCTTTTCTTGAGTGGTCCCTTTTGTTACTTTCTGATGGGAACACCCAGCCTACTGGCTATTCTCATATTGCAGCAACCTCTGAGGTCCAACAAGCCGTGTTTCAGTCCAGGTGTGGATTATTGTACATTCCCTGTAAAAATACCTCTCCCACTCCACCATGATTTGGATGTGTAATCAAACTAGATGAACAAATGAAAGACTAAGGAAAGGAACAGTGATGGTCCCTTATTTTACAAAAAGGAAAAAGGACAGGAAAATGATCAACACATTTTAACTTTGTGTGACCAGTAGAGGATGGATCATTATTCCTGTGGACAGCCACTATCATTGTATATGTAAGAATTGTCCAAAGAGGTGACATGCAGCCAGGAAGAAAGCCCAAAAAGATCCCAGGAAGCCCAGACTCAGGGATAATGTAACTTAAGGGGCTGGAGTTGGTACCTAGAGCAATTGTGTTGGTCTCTGTGGTTTGTTGTGAAGAAGATCAATATCTAATCAATCAATATAAATCAAATAACATCACTGGAAAGGAAAAATCTTGATTTTTGTTACCCTATGTGTGATTAGTATTTTGCATCCTTAGTGGAGATTAGCAAAGAGCAGCCTTTGGATACTGTTGCTGTCACAACAATGACTAAGAATGAACTAAAGTCAACTAAAACAAAAGGAAAGGCAAAGGCTGAAGTGTTTCTGAACAAAGTACTTTTTGCTAGCCTGGGGCATGGAACTGGTTCCTGAGGGAGGCAAGCTGATCTCCCCCCAGCACAGACAGCTGGTGTGAAGCAGCTCACACGCAAAGGAGTGAGTCTGAATCAGGAGATGAGTAATGTCTCAGTCTTTACCTGCTTACTTGCAGGAAAGTCTCAGTGGATGAGGGCTCAAGGCAGTGTTTGATTCTTGCATAAATGCCAGATAGGCCATTCTAGCCCGTAAGCTTCACCACAAATCTAAAATATGTTCATTTTCAGGAATATGGGCAAAGCCATTTTTCCATGGCTAGGAAACAGTTTTTCCTGGGGAAGCTGGCAGCCCATGGTTTGCACAGGTAAAGATGGGTAAAGAACTGACTGGATGGCCAGGCCCAAATAGTGGTGATGAATGGAGTTATATCCAGCTGGTGATCAGTCATGAGTGATGTTCTCCAGAGGCCTGGGAATCTCTGTGTACTGGGGCCTGTCCTGTTCAGTATCTTTATTGATAGCCTGGATGAGAATACTGAGTGCACCCTCAGTAAGTTTGCAGATTACACCAATTTGGGAGGAAGTGTCAATCTGCCTGAGGATAGGAAAGCACCGCAGAGGGATCTGGACAGACTGGATAGCTGGGCTGAGGCCAATGGGATGAAGTTCAACAAGACTAAGTGCCAGGTCCTACACTTTGGCTACAACAACCCCAGGCAATGCTACAGGCCAGGGGCAGAGTGGTTGGAGGACTCTGTAGAAGAAATGAACCTTATGATGCTGGTCAACACTCAGCTAAACATGAGCCAGCAGTGTTCACAAGTGGTCAAGAAGGCCAATGACATCCTGGTTTGCATCAGAAATAGTGCAGCCAGCAGGAGCAAGGAAGTAATTGTCCCCCTGTCTTCAGTTGTGGTGAGGCTGTACTTTGAGTACTGCATTCAGTTTTAGGCCCCTCACCACAAGAAAGACTTTGAGACCCTGGAACATGTCCAGAGAAGGACAGCAAAGCTGGTGAGGGGTCTGGAGCACAAGTCTTACGTGGAATGGCTAAGGGAACTGAGATTGTTCAGTATGGAGGAGGCTCAAGGGAGAACTTACTGCCCTCTACAACTACTTTAAAGGAGGTTGTGGCGAGGTGAGGTCAGCCACTTCTTCCATGTAACTAGCAGTTGGACTAGAGGGAATGGCTTCAAATTGTGCCAGGGAAGGTTCAGGTTGGATATTAGAAAAAATTTCTTCTCCAAGAGAGTGGTGAGGCACTGGAAAAGACTGGCCAGAGTGGTGGTTGTCACCAACCGTGGAGGTATTCAGTAAATGCTAAGATGCTTACTGAGGGACGTGGTTTATTGGGAAATACTGTTGGTGGGTGGATGGTTGCACTGGATGATCTTGGAGGTCTTTTCCAACCTTGGTGATCCTACAGTTCTATGATTCTAAATTCTCTCAGTATATGTCATATTATGTTGACAGAAAGTCCTGTTACAGAGGTCAATCTGGACACTGGCATTGCCTTTCACCAGTTTATCCACATTGCCCCATCTTTTTCTATTACAGCATTTGTACCAGTGACTCACCTCATTGTCCTCATTTCACACACTCCCTCAAGATCTCTATGGGCTGTGTCCTTATTTTCCTGCCACTTGCCACAGAGCCTTTCTGAGGAGCACTGATCACAGGAAGATGTTTGCAGGCAGCCCCTTCACCTGCCTCCACTGCGTTACCACTTTTCAGGAGCTGTGTGGGAGGATCAGGCTCTGCAGGAGTAATCTGTACCCAGGTTTAAGCATCACCTCCTCCACAGGGAAGGAACATGAGCTGTTTGCCAGCTATCCTGAGATCACCCTCAGCCCAAGCTGTAGTGATCAACCTCCCCTCTCTGGGTTTTCCCCAAATCCAAATATGAACAGCGAATTTAGAGAGAGTAAATGGAAATGGAAAAAGTAGACATGCCCCCAGGTTTATCTTGGCTCTGACAGATGCATTTTGCTCTGTGTATTTCCAGCTATCCAGTTGACAGGATGTTCCCTATTTCTGAAGGAGGACCTAGTCCCTTCCCTGTAGAGCTGCCTTTAACCAAAGAGGAGGGTGTACTTCAGCAATCCACACAGCTCTGAAACACAAGCATTACCTGGGGCTCTGCTGTGATTTTGGCACCTCTGGCCCTCTGTTTTGCGTCTGGATTTCTATGAACAACCATGCCAGGAAGTTCTCATCTTTGTTGCTGTTGTTGTTGAAATATAATACACTTCTGGGCTTAATTTTTAGATATGTAACGTCCCTGGGTTGTACACAGGTGGGAACTTGGTGACTGTGCTGTGCTTAATTGCCCAAAATGTTAACCTATGGCTGGGAATCCTGTCAACCTACATAATGGGATTCAAAAATTTAATGTATATTTCATTATTCTCTGAAATTTAAATAATAGCAACTACCGACTATATGGATTATACAACAGGATATGCAGAGCATATGCGTGGAATAAATGTGTATATTTGTGACTGGCTTTGTTTAAGAGAGACTGGTAGCAGTGAGCCGCTTTGTTATGATAATGAGCTTGGGATGGTTAACTACCTGCCAAGCCATGAAGGGATATCATGGTACCTGCTGTTTATTGGCAGCTCAGAGACAAGGTTGCTTCTGTAGTTGCTACCTCATGTACCAAGAATTTATGAAATCATCTGAGGCTGCCCTTGTCAATTATCATCATCATTAGTTCTGTGCTTAAAAAAACAAGGCAAGGTTCTGGTGGGCATTCATCTAAGAAGTGCTGTGGTTCTGCAGTCTCAACTAATGTGCCTCAGCCATGATCAAATCAGGTAAATTATTGAGATAGATATAGGAATGAAAATAGATGCAGATGAACTGCTTTACTATTCCTCATTTGGTGGTACTCTTCATCTGAAGTGAATGGTGGGAGATCAAGGATCTGACTGAGGATTAGAAAATCCACAGATACATTTGTGCATCAAGTGATGAATTGATAGATAAATCATCCCAACTGAGTGATAAATTTGGGATTCCTTACTAACAAATTGTGAACATGTGTTTAAGATAGCTACCACTGTCCTAGTTAAGCTATTGCTGTACAGCTGTCTTCATAATCTACAAGAGAATATGGAGGGGCATTAATGGTCTCCATCATGTATGAGAGACTGGTAGAGTAAAACAAAGTAGGCACCTGCTGTCACATTGGCATTGTAATCAAAACAGCAGTTCAGTGAGTCCTTGGGTGTGTGGTGGTTTCCCAGTGATGGGTAGTTCAGCTCCATCATACTGCTTTCTCACCCCATTCATCAAAAGGACAGGGAGAAAATGTAATGAGAAAAGGTTCATGGAATTGAGATAAGGACTCTGCTCTCCCAGAGCACACCCAGTTGTGACTCAGCCCCAACAGTGGTGGGTCACTGTTGGAGCAGCTGGAGCTGCTTTACTCTCACACAATGCTGGCCTCTGCTAACGGAGGTCCACCCTACTACCAAAACTTTGCAAGGTAAGCCCAGTGCAAGGGGAGCTCACTTTTCCCAACTGTGAGTCCTCATTCACTAGCATACAAGTAGTTGCTCCCAGGTTCAGCAGCAGTTGATGAGTGGCACATGCAGGGTGGTAAAAGGAATGAGGCAAAAGCCAATACT